CATGAGGGCACATACCTGTAATTCAAGCTACTCAGGAGGCTGAGGCAAGAGAATCACTTGAACCCAGGAGGTGGAGGTTGCAGTGAGCCGAGATCATGCCATTGGATTCCAGCATGGGTGGCAAAAGTGAAACTCTGTCTTAAAAAAAAAAATCTGGTAACCATGCTATAGATGTGCTGTCATCCAGGCTTTGTTGTTCCATTTATAGAGCACAGGCAGAGCCTGTGAAGCATAATTCTTAAGGGCCCTAGGATTTTCAGAATGGTAAATGACTATTTGCTTTGACTAAAGTCACCAGCTACATTGGCCCCCATCAAAAGGGGTCAGCATGTCCTTTGAAGCTTTGAAGCCAAACATTGAATTCTCCTCTCTACCTATGAAAAATCTAGATGGAATCTTCTTCCAATATAAGCCTGTTTTCATCCACCCTGAGAATGTGTTATTTAGTGTAGGCACCCTCATCAACGATGTTAGCTAGATCTTCTGGCTAACTTGCTGCAGTTTCTGTAACAGCCCTTGCTGTTTCACCTTGCATTTTTATGTTATGGAGATGGATTTCTTTAAATCTCATGAACCAATTTCTGCTAGCTTCAAATTTTTTATCTGCAGCTTTTTCACCACTCTCAGCCTTCATAAAATTGAAATGAGTTAGGGGCTTGCTCTGGATTAGGCTTTGGCTCAAGGGAATATTGTGACTGGTTTGGTGTTCTATCCAGACCGCTCAAACTTGCTCCATCTCAGCAATAAGTTTGTTTTGCTTTCTTATCATCCATGTGCTCAATGAAGTAGCACTTCTCATTTCTTTCAAGAACTTTCCCTTTGTATACCTGACTTGGCTAAGTGTTTGGCACAGGAGGTCTAGCTTTTGGCCTGTCTTGGCTTTTGACACGCCTTCCACACTAACCTTAATCGTCTCTAGCTTTTAATTTAAGGTGAGAGAAGTGTGACTCTTTCTTTCACTTGAACACTTAGAGGTCACTGTAGAGTTATTTATTGGCCTAATTTCAATATTTTTGTGTCTCAAAGAATGGGGAGGTCCAAGAAGAGGGAGAAAGAGGAAAGAATTGTTGAAGAAGTCAGAACACACACAACATTTTATGGATTAAGTTCATCATCCTCTATGGATACGGTTCATGGTGCACCAAAGCAGTGACATGGTAACATCAATGATCGCTGACCACAGATCACCAAACAGATAAAATAATAATGACAATGTTTGAAATACTGTGAGAATAACTAAAATGTAATATAGAGACATGAGTGAGCACATGCTGTTGGGAAAATGGTGCCAGTAGGCTTGCTTGACACCAGGGTTGCCAAAAATCTTCAATTTATAAAAAATGCAGTATCTGTAAAGTCTAATAAAGCAAAATGCGGTAAAATGAGATCTGCTTGTATTGCTCGTTTGGAGACTTTATACAAATGGAAGTATATAGTATGAATATATACTTGGCCTTCCATATCTGCTGGTTCTGCATCCACTAATATAGACAACCATGGATCAAAAACATATTTAAAAACCCAATATGACAATAACAATACAAATTAAAAAACAAAATGGTATAGTGTTTACATAGCATTTACATTGTATTAGGTATTATAAATAATGGAGAGATACTTTATATAGGAAGATGCATGTAGGTTATATGCAAACACTACACCAGTTTATAGAAGAGACTTGAGCTTCTGTGGATTTTGGTATCTGTAGGGGCCTGAAACCAATCCCCCATGGATACTGAGGGATGACTCTACATTGGTTTACCTGTCTATGCCACTGTTGATGGACATTTGGTTTGTTCCAGTCTGGGGCTATTACTAGCATGCTGCTCTAAACATGCTCATACATGACTCCTGGTATGAGAGTATACACATTTCTTTAGGGTAAATATATGGCTAGGAGTAGAAATATTGGGTGATAAAGCTGGGCACAATGGCATGTGCCTGTATTCCCAGCTCTTCAGGAAGCTCGCTTGAGCCAGCAGTTTGTGAGCAGCCTGGACACCACAGGAGACCCGTCTCAAAAGAAAAAGAAAAAAAAAAAAAAAAGAAATGTTGGGTGATAGAGTACATACGTACATCCTCAACTGAACTATAGAATATTTTCCAAGTGGGTTCTCCATGTACATCCTCACAAGCAATTTAGGAGTTCTTCCTGTTCCACTTCCAAAATGAGGATTCTTCATTTTGAGATAATATCCTTCTATATGAAAAAGATTCCTGTAAAAAATAAAAAATAATGATGGTTGAATTAACAGATTGCTCTTTTTACATGCCAAAATAAAGATCTACTAGTTCCATTTAGGAACTTCTAAGTTTTTCCCCTGAAATTCTATTGGATCACAACATCTCAAAGGCTATAAACTACTGTTGCAAAGAACACGATGTAGATTGTCCCTTCTCTTTTTTGTTTTATAACATCAAAAGTCACTTAATGTATATAATAGTCAGCCTCCAAGATGGTCCCCAATGTACATCGTCTTTTGGTATTCATGCCTTTGTGCAGACTGTTCCCACATACTGGATAAGGGCTGATTTTGCAAACAAGAAAAGTGTCAGTGGACAAGTTCCCAAACTGGATCATAAAGGACATTACTGCTTCAGCATTGGTCTTCTGGATCAATCACTCTGAGGGAAGTCAGTCACCATGTGAGTATGCTCAAGCAGCACGATGAGTAGGACCACATGGAAAAGAACCAATTTACCAACACCAACTTGTGAATGAAGCAAATGAGCCACTTAACACAGAGCCTTTGGTCTCAGTCAAGCTTCCAGACAATCTGAGTCTCCCAGTCCTTGAGTTTTCCAGTGAAGATAAAGCAGAAATCATAAAGCAGAAATAAGTTATGCCCCTCTGCCCTGTCTGAATTCCTGATTCACAGAAACCATGAGATAATATATAAGTATTTTTGGTTTGAGCCACCAAATTTGGGATAATTTGTTACACAGCAAGATATAACTGATACAACATGACCATCTAGGAAAGTCAAATATTGGCCCCAAATTTGGATTTTTGAATGACTTCACACAGTAATGTAATGATCTAGTAGTTCTATTTAGGTCTTAATTTTTTCCTGAGTCTGATTATGCCTCTAGATTTAATTACAAGTTTAGAAGAAATAGAAGTAACATAGGAACATGTTAAACGAACACACTGCAGGGAATATAGGAAATTCTGTAGCACAAATTACTCATTTTCTTCAACCAATAAATTGAAAAAGCAAGATGAGGAGGGGAACCTGTAAATTGAAAGAGACTTAGGAAGTACGATGGGTTGTATTATTCCCAAGAATAGATGCTGTCTCCTGTGGGAAAATTATCCTTCCCATTTCTCCACTGACATCAGCTTTGGCCACATGCTTTGCTTTGACCAGTGAAATGTGAGCAGATGTGATGGTTGGTTGCTACTTCTGAGTAGATGCTTTAAAAGTCATTGGGTGTTTCAACCATTCCTCATTTCCATCTGCCAGGAACTGGGCATATCCCAAACACAGTCTGTTTCTTTAGCCCGTAGCCGGGAGTGAAGAGGATGCAGGGCTGACTCACAATGGAAACTCATGTGAACAGGAAATAAATCTGGGTTGTTGTAAGCCACTCCGATTTTAACATTGTCTGCTAAACATAACAGCATAATGTACTCTGACTCATATAAGTAATGTTTCAAATACAACATGTAAACCTTTTTTTTTTTTTTTTTTTTTTTTGAGACGGAGTTTCACTCTTGTTACCCAGGCTGGAGTGCAATGGCGCGATCTCAGCTCACCGCAACCTCTGCCTCCTGGGTTCAGGCAATTCTCCTGTCTCAGCCTCCTGAGTAGCTGGGATTACAGGCACGAGCCACCATGCCCAGCTAATTTTTTGTATTTTTAGTAGAGACGGGGTTTCACCATGTTGATCAGGATGATCTCGATCTGTTGACCTCGTGATCCACCCGCCTCAGCCTCCCAAAGTGCTGGGATTACAGGCTTGAGCCACCACGCCCAGCAACATGTAAACCTTTTTAGGATCTTGGCTTGCGGGACAATTGAAGAAATTTGAGTACATACTAGATATTTCTTATGATAATTAAGAAATTGTTATTAATTTTTTAGGTGTGTGGATGGTATTGCAGTTAGGTTTAAAAGAACAAAAAGAGGCCGCTCATGCCTGTAATCCCAGCACTTTGGGAGGCCGAGGCAGGAGGATTGCTTGAGTCCAGGAATTTGAGTACAGCCTGGACAACATAGTGAGACATCTCTATTTTAAAAATTATAAGAACAAAAAGAACTCCTATATTTTGGATACATGTTTCAGGGGAAAGAGGGAATATTTGAAACAAGGTTGGCCATGAGCTATCAACGGCTGAGCCATGTAGGTAAGTACATGTCAGTTTATCATACTATTCTCTCTACTTTCATAGATGTTTAGAAATTTCCATATTAAAAACTTTTTTTTTTTGAGACAGAGTCTTGCTCTGTCGCGCAGGCTGGAGTGCAGTGGTGCGATCTTGGCTAACCGCAACCTCCGCTTCCCATGTTCAAGCGATTCTCCTGAATAGCTACTATTACAGGCACGTGCCACCATGCCTGGCTAATTTTTGTATTTTTAGTAAAGAAGAGGTTTCATCATGTTGGCCAGGCTGGTCTTGAACTCCTGATCTCAAATGATCCACCGACTTTGGCCTACCAAAGTGCTGGGATTACAGGCATGAGCCACTGTACACAGCTCATAATAAAAAGTTTTTAAAAAAAAAGAGTTTGTTGACATGATTCCCAGAGTTGTCCCTTGACTCCCAAAGGGATTCAGAAAAATGGGAGCTGGGAGGATGAAGCGGACCACTTAGGTTTATGAGTGTGAGTACACAAAAGAGACGTTGAGGTCAGGCCTCAGGAAGAAGATACTGAGACTGATTATTTTCAGTGAGAAAGATATTTCCTTGGGAGCATTACACCAGGTCAGAGCAATATCAGGGAAAGTTTCAGAACACTGCAGAGCTGTCGGGAGCTGGGGTGTCCGCCTCCACCTCAACTGTGAAATGGGAGGGGCGTGGAAAACAAACGTAGTATCTGTTCCTATGGGTTAAAGCATCGAATGAGGTCTCCATCTATGTTCAGGGCATTAAATTAATATTTGGAATTGGGAGATGGTTTGGGAGCTTGCTCTATCCTCTCCATGCCTCAGCATGTAATTGCAATGCTTTCAAGAATGGTGCATTCCTTTTGAGTTAATGATAGATTGTTTTCTTTTGTCCCCTAGTGTTCTACAAAGTGCTCCAATTCACTGTTAACGAGGCTCCAGACTGCATTTCCACCATTTGTGCTGCAAAAATAGAGTTTCCCATAAGTCAACAAAGCAGTGGGCTTGAGCTCTCTTGCCAGTACCACATCCAAGAGAGTGTTGGACAAGAAGATCACTTGAGTGAGGAGCAGCCTGGGCTGAGGGGAGAACAGGCTGAGCTAGAAATCCCACGTCAAGGGACTGTGTGCCAGGACACGTGTCCCCAGGGAGCAACAACATTGGCAGCTATGGAGGGGGAAGAAGTTCAGTTGAGATACAGAGGCAGCCGCAACCTCAGTGAGAGCACCCATTGCCCACCCCCTTCACCCCTCATCTGGAGAAGTCAAGTAAAACCATCCTGCCTCTCATTCTGTCTTCCAAACCGAGGGTGGTCCTCTCTAAGAAAGGAGGAGAAGATGGGTATGTGAGAGCAGATATAGATCCCATCCTTGCCCTTGCTGGACTGGCTGGTACTGGGACAGTGGGGCAGGAGAGCAGAGAGCTTGGAAGTCTCTGCTGTTGACATTTTTGTGTGTGTGATTGAATTTTCAAAAGGAATGGGATGACAGGTGTGGTGACTCATTCCTATAATCCTAGGGAGGCCAAGGCGGGTAGATTACCTGAGCTCAGGGGTTTGAGACCAGCCTGGGTAATATGGTGAAACCCTGTCACTATTAAAATACAAAAAATTAGTTAGGCATGGTGGTGCATGCCTGTAATCCCAGCTACTCAGGAGGCTGAGGCACAAGAATTGCTTGAAACCGGGAGGCAGAGGTTGCAGTGAATCAAGATAGTGCCACTGCACACCAGCCTGGGTGACTGAGAAAGACTCAGTCTCAAAAAAAAAAAAAAAAAAAGGAATGGAATGGGGCATATAGAAATGGGACTGGGAAGTTGTGGAATTGAATGGAGAAATTACTAAGACATCAAGGGAGCCCACAAGAAGAAGCTGGGGGCAGTCAGACAGTTTCATGCTTACACCCCAGTGAATTGCTATTCCTCAATGATAACAGAGTTTCTTCACTTCCACATCAACACAACAAAAATAAAAACAAACTCCAAACTAGACAAAGCCTGTCTCTGACAATTCCCCTCTGAATCTTTCTTCCCTTCTGTCTTCTCTCCCTCATCCTGAAACAAATCCATGCCCTCCCGCAATTAACAAGAGCCAAGCTTATGTACCATCAAGGACACTAAAAATAAGTATCTATATTTTCTTCTAATATTTTGTCTACTGTGACCTACTTTCAGTTACATTTCAAAAGCAAATGGGTGAGATGTGCCCTAAATAAACATGCCTATGAACTCTGCCATAGTGTTGGCTGCATAGTTTTGGTACCATAACCAAATACTTGTTTTCTATAGAGAGCTAAACTTAAAAAAGTTTCCTGTGTTGATAGGTTGATATTTAAATTCTAAAATTCCACTTGCTTCATCAAAAATCTGTTTCTTTGAGGACTGTTTCCCACTGATAATTCTGGTATTAAAGAGCTCTAGTTAGTGCTACCTCTGATGTGCCCCAGGCACATGGAGAATCACTTCCAACCCATCCACACATCTGAAAACACATTTTTCAGCAATTATAAAATCAAGAGCTGTGAAGCTTCCTTGAAAACAGAGCATTGTATCAGCTGATGTTATTTTAATCATTCACTTTTAATGAGAAACCTATGACTATCTTTAAAAATCAGAGTCAAAGGTAGGCTGTCACCTAAAAAAAAGTCAAGTTGTGGTTTGAGTGTTTTACCGACATTAGAGAATTATTGTAATAATTTAAATACTTCAACTTAGCAAGATATATGTATGTGCTTTCAAAGTGAGTTCTAATAGTCACCCTAGCAGTTGCTAATTAACATTTGAAGTAGTCTAATGGGGAGTAACACTCCAGGTGGTGTTTTGTTAGCATTTAAGGGCCCTAATCAGAACCTTGGACTTGGAATCTGTGGCTTCCAAAGCTCCTTCAACTCTTCCTTTCTGAATCTACGCTAGTGAATGGATTATTTAGCGTAAGAGATGTTAGAAGTAACTTTTTAGGCTGGGCGTGGTGGCTCATGCCTATAATCCCAGCACTATGGAAGGCCGAGGCAGGAGGATCATTTAAGGCCAGGTGTTTGAGACCAGCCTGGGCAACATAGTGGAACCTCATCTCTACAAAAAATAGAAAAAGTTAGTCCAGTGTGGTGGTATGTCCCTGTGGTCCCATCTACTCAGTTTTGGGTGAGCCCAGAATGGTGCTCCAGGGTTGGGTGTTTGTTTAGTTTTGTGCCTGATACTGGAAGGCAATGTCCAGTCACTTGATCCACTGGATTCTGTTCTGGGACATTGTGGGGTCTGGTTCAAGTGAATATTTCATGGAAGGCTATGGCCAGAGAGTCCGGAGCTTATCAAGCTTATGAGACTGATGTGCTTGACTCAGGCTTTTTTGCTGATAAGCCCAAGACTCACTTTCATGGACCTTATCACCCAGTGACCCTGTGCAGAGGCAGAAGATCCAAGCTCCAATGACTCAAAGGGGTGGAGGTGCCAGCAAGGCACTAACAATGTGTACCACCAAACTGATTCGAACCATTAACAACATTTAACTATCTACAAGTAGTTATCATGAGATGTATTTAATTGAAAAATAAAAGAGGGCCAAATAGGAAAAAAAAACTGTAAGTGATGACCAAAATTCAAGGAAGATTTATAGGAAAAAAAAGTGGTTTTGTCTATATAATAATAATAATAGAATTATATGGGGCTTACTATGTGCCAGTAACTATTCTAAGCTATATCTTAGTAAAGACATACTATTATCTTAATATTATTATTATTATTATTTTAGAGACAGAGTTTTCTATGTTGTCCAGGCTGTCCTCGAACTCCAGGGCTCAAGTGATTCTTCATGCTGTGCCTCAGTACTCAGAAACCGAGGAATTACAGGTGTGCACCACCATGCCCCTCATCATACTATTTCCATCTTACTAATGAGGAAACTGAGGCACAAAATGTGACTTGTCCTAGGTTATACAGATCAGATAAGTGGGGAAGCAGTGATTTGAATTCAGGCAGTCTGACTCTGGAATCCAGGCTTGTACCTGCTTTAGATACCACAGTTTCCTTTCTGAAGAATAACAGTTGGTATGTGACTAGAAGCCACAATGGGAATTTATAGGGTTAAAGAAAACTGAACTTGCTATAAAAGCCCAGGGGAAAACTAAGGAATTCTGAGGTTTTCCTTGACTTCAGAAAAGGCCCTTACCAACAAGAGATATTTTTCTGTCAAGGATCATTTGGACAGCAGACTTCTGTGATGAATTAAAAATAAAGATCTGTCACTTGGTTGATGATGTGTATAACGGTTTTCCTAGACGCAACAAAGCTGTGGAATTTTAGAAGGCTTTGAAGAGAAAGGCAGACAACTTGCCTCTCTCTTATCCATATTTGACTTCCTTTCTTTTTATATCTCCCTGTAATGTCCTATCCCAGAACAACCATTCACCTGTGAAGTTACTGATGTAAGTCACAGCAAACATTCATGTTTTTCTGTGTTCCTTTCAGCCTGTCAATGAGGGCAAGAGTTGGGATAATCTGATTACTAACATGGTTATTTGGTGAACTCTTCACCTGTGGCTGTAAATCTGATCTTGCACCTTTCCTTTACAAGTTCCTCTCTGGCCATGGCTCTTAGAGGGGACATAAACCACCAGTCACAACCATCATTCTATGGATGTCTTTTTTACCTATTTACTCACCTTAATTCCTGCAACAGAATTTTATCCACATATTGGATAAGCCAGTGTTTGGAGCTCCACTCAGGGCCCCTTCCCATTATCCTGTCACTAAGGCAACGTGGTACTCAGCAGCAGTAGCCCTGTCTCCTCAACTAGCTCTGTGTATACTCAGGATCCTGGTGAATGACTCATTCAACCACATTACACGGAGCTACAGAAAACTGGCCCTGAGCATAGCAGACTAACAATGGTTTTGGGGGCTGCCAGATCCCAAAACTTTTAGAGGTTTTAAGATACATTTAGGGTTCTTGTAACTGTTACTTAGAAGTTGCCAAGTCTTTTTTTTTTAATCCCCAATGTTTTCACATACCAGATTGTTTTTATGTAAAAATATAACAGTTAAATAATGTATTCATCAAATTTGAATTGAGTATTAGGAATTAAATCCAATGCCAGAAATTTAAGAGGAAAAAGATATAGACCCTGCTGATCTGTTGGGCTGTTTGGTTGCAGGTGATAGTAACTCAACTTAAAACAGTTTTAAAAAAGGAAATGTATTGACTCATGTAACTGAAAAGTCTGGGTGTAAATTTCAGGCATGACTGGATCAAGAGAACTCAAATGATCTCATTAGGACTCCTTTTCCTCTTTTCATCTCTGCTCATCTTTGCCTCTCTTTGTGTGCTGGCCTCATTTTCTCTTACCAAAGATAGCTTCCTCCAATGTAACCTGAATGAATGGCTATAAGGAGCTCCAGCTTAGATCATTTTTGGGACTCAAAATAGTACAGGAATAGAGACCATCTCTCAACAAGAATCCACTTATCAAAAATCAAGAAAGTTTCTTATTGGCTCTACTTGATCACATACTCATGACTGACTTATCTGGTTACAGAAATGAAGTCCTCAGATTGGCCACCTTGCATTACCTGCTTCCCCTTCAAATGGGGAGGGTTTAATAGCAATTGTACAACATGAAATATGTTTTACACACAGGGAAAGGGGAAAACGATGGACAAAAAGAACAGATATTGATTGTGGTAGTTGGCCTCCAAGATAGCCCCAGTTGATCTTCACCTCTTTATAGTCACGTGTCACTTAACAACGGGGATACATTCTGAGAAATGTGTCCATAGATGATTTTGTCATTGTGTGAACATCATAGAATATACTTACACAAAGCTAGTTGGTATAGCTTACTACACACCCAGGCTATACGGTATAACCTGT